AGATCAAGGGGGAGTAACTTCAATGATGGTAAAAGATTCAAAAGGAGTGCGACTAGAGATGATTACAAAAGATTATTCCGATGCTACAATGTCTGAGAGTTGTTGAATGTGAAGATCTATTTTACAACAAGTTTTGCTGATAAAGATTGCCTTTGAAGAGAAAATTTGTTAAAGTTCAATTTTGAAGATCGTTATTGTTTCTGATCTATATTGTCAAAAGAGAAGATCATCGCGGTCCTACATTCGAGGGGAGAATGTTAGAAGATCTTTCTCAAACAAATGATTGTCTGAAGATTTCGAGCTGAAGATTGTTTTGAAAAAGACATAGAGTGCTTAATGCAACCAAGTTCAAACGAGACTCAAAGCGCGAAAATTCTTTCAAGTCTGAATACAAAGGGGAGAATGTTAGGACTGAAATTCAGTGTAAAATTGTATTCGTCTTGAAAGTTAATTTTGTCTATAATTATACTAAAAGTCATCGTGTTTGACTTTTCTTAGATAGTTTGACTTTGACTATTTGTGTCTTGTTTGACCTTATATAAAGGGTGAGTCTTTGTAATATTTGGTATGAGCTTAATTGTAAAATCAGTTTTTACATAATAAAGTTTGACCAAGTTTTAGATATTGACTTTCTCTCACAATTCTAAAGTGTTCTTACAAGTTTCATACATATCTGCCATTGTTGATTTGAAGGATTCATGAAGATGGATTAAAGTGGGACTTATAACATGAATATATGATTAATTGTTATAATTGATCATGTGGATACATGCTTATATGAGATTAATATGTGAGTGTTTATTTTTTATGTATGGGAATTGTTAGCTCCAATATTTACTTAATGTAAAAGTATGAAAAAGTATTCTGCAAGTGTTGACAGAAGGGTATCTTGCACAGAAGACAACAGAGGACCATCAACAGAAGCTGTTTGATCGTGCAAGTCAAGAATGACAGAACCTCTGTTGTCTCTCACARAGGTTYTGRAAAATGGTCCTCTGGCAATAAGAACCTACAAGTCTTCTACAGCAGAGCCTCTGAGATGGCTCACAGAAGGTCTGCGGATTCGTCTTCTGTGAAGATCCTGTTGTGCTGTTGTTTAAAGGTTGTTAGCTGCACGTGCTTCTCACGTGACTAGGTCTTTAATCGACTTTATTTGGACGGCTTGGATGATTTCACATGTCTAGGTCATGTCAGAAAGGTCGTTAGGAACTAGTATAAATAGCAGCTTAGGCCTTTGTAATTCTGTGTGCTTCTGTATTGTAATCGTCTTATTTTCAATCAATTGAAAAACCTTTGAAGCTATTCTATTGCGTTAATCGTCTGCATATCAATCTGTGTGTTCTTGATTAATTACTCTGTTGTGTTCTTATTATTGTTTCCGCTGCATTGTAATCGTCCTAAAGATCAATCAGAGTAAGAGATCAAATACCAAATCTGAATTTACAGGTCCTAACAATTGGTATCAGAGCAGGAATTGAATTCTCATTCGATTAATTCTGTTTTCGGTATTAATCTGCATTTTATAGAACACCAGTCTTCTTCATTTTACCCTGTTTCACTCGATTAAATCAGTTTCATCTTATTTCTGTCTTTCTCCTTCTAATTTCAATGGAGAATTTGGCCAATATTTCATTCATGAGCACTGGTTCTCAATCAAAACCTCCCACGCTTATTCGTGAGGATTATCCGCAATGGAAGGTGCGAATGATAAATTTTTTGGAAGGAATTCACCCAAG